GCCTGGGGCAGGCTACAGTCCATGGAGTGGCAAAGAGTCAGACACGAGGGAGCGACGAACACTCTCACTTTCATCACACCTGAGCCGGCAGAGATGCAGTTATTTCTGGATGTGGATCATGTGTGTGCGTGGGTGGCTGCATGTGTGTGCACGTGTGTGAGATCCCCCAGGCCCCATCTCCTCAGAACCTTGAGGCCATCGTGGGAACCGCAGGCTCCCCCTCTGCCCCGTGCTTTCTGGCTGCTGGGACTGGTGGCTGGGGCCCAGGGGTCGTGGGTGGCAGGGGAAGCCCCCGAGCCGGCCGCAGCCCAGATGCCCTCCCAGGCCCGGCCGTGCCCAGCTCCGCCCTCTCGCTCTCGCCCAGGTCATCCAGGGCCTGGTCATCGGGCGGCTGAGCAGCCACTTTTCTGAGAGAGCCCTGCTCCGGGCCAGTGTGCTGGTCTTCAGCGTCGTGGGACTGGCCATGGTGAGAGACCCCCATCCTGCCATCCCTGCAGAGAGCAGGGGCCCAGGCCCTCTCCCCTGACCCTCCTCAGGTGCCCCGTCTGCACTTGAGCCCTGGGGCTCCCTTGCCCCCAACTCCCACCCAGGACCACCTCAGCGGGACCTCAGGGGATGGACGACTCCCCCTGGTCACCGTGGCCTCCGCCTGCCTCCCGCCAGGCGCTGATGACCAACGTCTTCCACTTCTGCCTCCTGATGCCCGGCCTGGTCTTCAGCCTGTGCGCTCTCAACGTGGTCACCGACAGCATACTGACCAAGGCTGTCTCAGCCTCAGACACGGGTGAGTGAGGTCCCTGAGTCAGGTGAAGGGCAGGCCCTGGGGGGCTCCCCGGCCCTGCTCTCTGGGGAGCTTGATGAGCAGTTTGGGGCAGAGCAGCTGCCCTGAGTGGGGACCCAGTGGGCACTGGGTGGGATGGGTGGCCAGGGGTCTGAGTGGGCAGGGTGGGGGCGGTGGCCCACAAGAGCGCTCAGGTGAGAATCCTGCCCGCCACTCCACCCAGCCAACCCTGCACCAGGCCCTGCTGATCAGCCCCAGGCCAGCCTGGGGGAAGGGAGGAGGGCTTCCTGGAGGTGGCCTCTGACTTGGCTGAAGCATGCACAGGGTTTCACTAGAAAGGGGGAGGAAAGATGACATCCCAGGCCGGCCCCAGCTGAGCCAGGGTGCGGGGTGAGGCTCAGAAAGGCTGCTGCGGAGGCTGGTTAGGAAGAGGGCCAGGCACAGCGAATGGCCGGAGGCCAGAGGGGGTGGGGCCAGCGCCGGGACACCTCCCGGTCCCTGCCCGTGCAAGCGCAGGTGGCTCCCGAGGGACCAGTGACCGAAGGCTCACAGCCCTCAGTCTAAGAAGGTCCTGGACCGCCCAGCGGGGCTCAGACACCCCCAGACGCAGACCCCCGGCTCCCACTCTGCAGCCTGCCTTCTCTCTGGAGGCTGGGGGGTTTCCAATCTGGACTGGGGCGGGAGGCTGTCCCTGGACCTGATGCTCCCCAGGCTCCCACTCCCACACTGCCCTGCGCATGGTGCTGGTCAAGGCCAGGGGCTCCTGTGGGCTGGCTGCGGTCAAAGGCCTCCCCAGCAGCAGGGCCAGAGAGCTCAGGGCCCCAGCTGACCCTCCATCCATCCACCTGCGTGTCTGGGAGGGGCAGACAGATCCAGAGGCTCTGCTGAAAGTGGGGAGGCTGCCAGACAGAGCGTCTCCTCAGGGCTGCCTTGGGAACCCCCAGGGCTCCCCAGATCTGCGACTCTGTGGTCTTGGGAGGCTAGACTGGTCCTGGAGGACTTCCTGGAGGCAGTGAGCCAGCTCTGCCCAGAGGCCAGGAGGAGGAAGGAGGGGAAGACCTGGAGAGATGAGGGCAGGGCCTGCAAGGAAGCGAGAGGAGCAGACCCAGGTGCCAGGGGCAACTCCCCTCAGCTTGGAAGGAGTCAGAGCCGGTTCCCAGCCCCAGCCTGGGAACTGGAGACCGCAGAGGGGGCGGTAATTGCTCCCTGGTGTCTGCAGGGCCTGTGGGCGGTGGGAGGGGCTGCTCTGAAATTCCCCCCACGCGGGCCCTGAGCCTGGGCGGGGCCTCGCCAGGCCACGCCCACCTGGTCCACGAGGGCGGGGCTTTCCAGACCCTGACAGGAGCCTCTGAGGACCCCAGGACCTCTGAGGTCCCAGGGCCGCCCGCATAGGGCACAGCTGACACGGGGAGGGTAGAGATGGGGGGGCTCAGGTAGAAGGGGTGCAGGCAGCAAGGTGAGCCTGGGGAGCAGGTACAAAGAAGGGGGCGCCCTCTGAGCACCTGAACCTCCTCACCGGCCCTGTGGGGGTGTTCCCTCCAGTCCACTCAAGGGCAGTAAAGGTCACGGGGGTGACCTGGAGTGTATCGTGGCCCACGTTACACCCTAGCCCAGCGCCCACACGGAGCATCCCCAGTTCTGGGCCGGGCTGGGCTGGGGTGCTGTGTCTCTGGCAGGCTGGGAGGGTGGCAGCTGGCCCATGACCTGGGGCCCTGTTCCCAGGCTCCTCCTGTGCTTGGGAGCTCTCTGGAGCAGGGCAGAGGCACCACATCCGGAGGCCGCAGCACTCCCCACGCGTGGCCTGCAGGGAGCAGACGGGCAGACAGGCCAGGTGGAGCGAGCCGGGGTGCGGAGCGGGGGACGGGGGGACAGGGAGGCCCGGGCCGTGTCGAGGACGTGGGCCGCCGGGGCAGTGATGCTCAGGGACCGGCCAGGCCTGACTTGACCCGCCCTCCCCCCACTGCAGGAGCCATGCTGGGCCTCTGCGCCTCTGTGCAGCCGCTGACCCGGACCCTGGGGCCCACCCTGGGCGGCCTCCTCTATCGCAGCTTCGGGGTCCCCATCTTCGGCCACGTGCAGTTCGCCGTCAACTTAGCCGTCCTCCTGGTCCTCTGGAGGCAGCCTGTGTCCCGGAAGGTGGACAAAGCCCAGTGACGTTGGCTCCCAGGCAGACTGGCAATAAACCCCCTCGAGACCTCTCGCAGCCTGGTTTCTGAAGGCTCCTGCCTTCAGGGAGGCTAGGGAGGGGGCGGGGTGCGGCTTTGGAGGCTGGAGGGCTTCCTGGAGGAGAGGGCCTGCAGCTGGGCCCCAGGGGCCCAGGGAGAGAGGAATCGCCCAAGAGCACCCCAGCATGAGGTGGGTCCCGGTCCTGGAGTCCACCACCCAGGCCAGCAAGGAGTCCTTCCTGCTGCCGTCCAGGCGACTCTGCCCACGTCCCCAGAGACAGGGAGCTCGCTGCTCACCCGCAGCCCCAACGTTGACCCCTCGCCAAGCGCACGCTGCCTGCACACCCTCCATAGCCCTTGAAATTGCTTCCACTGGGGAACAGAAAGAGGACAGGGTCGTTTTTAAAAGGTCAAGCATTTGAGGCTTGGGGAGAGGTCAAAGAAGAGAACCCTCGTTTCATGTTGGGGACCCCAACGGGTAGAGAGCCAGGCCTCCAGGCTTGAGAATCAGTGACCCGTTCCTCCACCGCCCCCCCACCTCCAGCCCAAGTCCCACGGCGAAGGGGCATCAGACGCAGTGAGGCCTGCCGGCTGCCGCGCCGAGAACCAGCGTGGAGAGGGCAACCTTGTTGGGTGTCTGCAGACGCCCTTGAGACTAGGAAGGCCACCCTTCCCCCACAGGCTACTTTTAACAGAAGCTATTAAACTTGGAATATTCCATGGCCCCTCCTGGAGGAGCCTCCGAGAGCTGAGATCCACACGCATGCACGCTCTCACTCACACACACACAGGCACACACACTCGTGCACACACACACACACACTCCCAGCCCCAGTGCTCAGGTCAGACCCCAACCCACCCCTCTCCCCCCACCCCACCCCCCGTGAGCCCCACCAGAACTGGTGAGGCACCGGGCTCACTCCCTGACTTCCGTCATCCACCAGAGGCTGTGGAGGGAGAGATCTCCAGGGTGGCTCAGGATGGAGGTGCCCCTGGGTCAGTGGGGGCCCTGGAGCTGGCCTCTCCTCTCCAAAAGAGCCCCCTCCCATTTGCCCTGGGGCCTCAGAGTGTTGTTGTGGAGGAAAACATTCACCACAGGAACGGTTTCTTCTCTGGACCCAGCACCCAGCCTCCCGGCAGGACTGCCCCACCTCCCAAGCCTGACCCCGGTGACCCAGTGAGTCAGGAGTCCTGTGATAGTGGCCCCCGGCCCAGTCCAGGGTAAGACTGACATTAAAGCCCAGTTGGGGCCCTTCACTCCCCCCAGCTCGGCGTCTCCCACCCCCACACCGGGCTCGCTCCAGCCACAAAGGTGACGTGAAGGTGCCTAGCCAGGCCAGGATCGCTGTCCCGTCTTGTTCTTCCATCCTTGGCTTCTTCATCACCAACAGAACTTCTAGGTGGAGGGACACATCTCCCCTCCCCATCCCAAGGCTTGGGGGGCAACCCTGGACACCCCACTTCTGGAGTTGGAAGGGTGGAAGTTGCCCTCTGGTCAGGGATCTCAGGCCTCCCTCCTGGTGACACATCCCAGGCCCCTCGGCGGCCTCAGCCTCCTGCCCAGGGCACAGACCGCTCTCCTGTTTGCCCAGAAGCACTGGCCTCCTCTCTGGTCCCACACGTCAGGTATGGGCCAGCAGGGCCTAACAACTGGTCCAGCCCGGGGTGGGGTTAAGAGGGGAGCAGCAGGTGGGCAGTCAGAGGCCTGCGGGCTTCCTTTCAGGGATGGGCAGGTGAGCAAGAGGGGGCAGGAGGGGCAGCTGGGGTCAGGCACACAAGAGCCGCTCGGATGGGGAGACACGCGGGCCGCACAGGGCCAGTTGGCCAGCAAGCAGGGTCCTGGCCTCCCCATTCACACCCGGAGTGAGCCAGGGTCCCCGGAGAGCACTCCCCCACCTCAGGAGAGGGTGACCAGGGTCTGGCAGATGACCGTGCGCACTCAAAGCGCGTTTCCTTGCCCTTCCGACACCTGGGGTGACCGCTCCCCCCAACGACACCCACTGAAGGGACCACCGACTCCCCTCCCACAGAAAGCTCACGCATCACACACTGGCTGATAGAAAAGAGAGTGAATCAAGCTATTTATTTGGAATGGTGGTGAAATACAAATGTTAAGACGGATGGTTTGGATATGTGGGTACCACTGAAATAAATACATGGACAACTAATAGCCCGCTCGGCGGACTCTGTGAGGCTCAGTGAATCAGCATGGACAGATCATTGTGTGTGAAGTGGAGCAGCACCGGCTAGATGCTTGCCGTGGTCAGCAAGTGGTGCTATCGGGGTTCCCGTCTCCCTGGGCATCTTCTGGGCTCCCGAAGGTGCGGCCCGCTTGGTCCTGTGGAGAGAGAAGGATTCAGGGAGCTGTGCCCGAGCCTGGGGGCTGAGACAGCCGGGGTCCAGCCTGTTGGTCTCCCGAGGCCCCTACACCGAAGGTGCAAGTGACATCTGCCGCGCGCCCGAGGCGCGCCGCGATGGCGCGGCACCCAGTTCCCTCTCGACACCTAGACGGGGCAGGACCTCCCCCCCGACGTCCTCCCCCAGGACCGCGTGCAGCCGGCGAGCGGGCGGCAGGCACTCACCGCGGCGGGGCTTAGAACTGGCCGGCCGGCTCGGTCTTGGCCCCCACCCCACCCGCCGCGGTAGCCCCGGGGCTGCACAAGGCATCCTAGCCCCGGGCCACCCGAGGTCATCCCAGTCCACGTGTCTGCAGCCTGCGCCCCTCTCCCTCGATTCCCCGGCGCTCCAGCAACCCCCGCAGCCCGGTGGGGCGACTGACGGTCCTCACCTCGCCTCGGACGCCGGCCCCGCGGAGGAATGCGCGGCGGCCGGCTCTGCCCGCTGTGTCTCACTGCCCGGGAGACCCGGGCAAGCGCCCGCAGCCCGGGCCGGCCCAGGGCCCGGTCTGGGGAGGTTTGATGGCGGGGCCCAGACGCCCACCTTACAGGCGACCCGACACCCAGCGCAGGGCTCGTGGGGCAGAGGCAGCAGTCGCCCCGTTCCTCCCACGTCCGGGGGTCCCTCCTGGGGAGACCCTCCAGGGGCTCTTCCCCAGCCGGGCTGAACTCCCACCTTGCCGCCCGCCCGCCCTCTCCTCCTTGGTTTGGGCCAGCGGGAGAGCAGGCGTCAGGAGCTTCAGTTTTCACTCCTGTTAAGAGACAACAGCCACTTGTTAGATTTGGCAACCCGCGGAAAGTGCTAGAACAGCCCCGTAGTGTCCAGTAAGCGTGAGGGCAGGTGAGGCTGCTCCAGCTCCCTTCCTGGGTCAGCCCTCCTGGGCCCTCCAGGCCTCTCCACTGTGGGGGGAGGGAGGACACACGGGGACCTGCCGGGGGGCCCTGGGAGTCTAGGGGGCGGGAAAGCGGTTGGTGCCTCCCTGGGGAGGGGGTCGGCCTGGGCTGGGGTGGGGGTGGCGGAGTCATGGCCTGTCAGCCAGACTAGTCTTATTTACCCTCGTCCTTTAAAGGGTTTAACAGGAGCAGGAAGTGATTGCTAGCTCCTGCCGGGCCCCAGGGGTGGGGGTCCAGCCGACAGAGGGGATCTGATCTGTGGGGTCCCCACCTGCTCCAGGGCCCCCACTTTCAAAACAGCCTACCTGGCTATGACCTGGGCAGGTACTGCCAAGCGAAGGGAGCAAGGTGAGCTGAGTCCTGTTGGGTGTGACAGCCACCCCACCTCCTGGTGCAAAGTGGAAACGCAGGTACTCTGGTTCAAAAAGGATTAATAACCTTTTCAAGGCAGCGAAGGCGGAGCATGAAGCCAAATGTGGGACCTCCTGGGTGCAGGCCCGCCCTGAGCCAGCTGGCCCTCCACCACCTGCCCTGGCTCCGCCTCCTGGTCCCAGCTCGGGCCCTGCAGGGTCACCGTGAGGAATAAGGGGCGCCACTGGCTGGCTCAGATGGGCGGCTCGGGCCAGGCCTGAGTGGATGGACAGGGGTGTGGAAGGGCAGGGCAGCTGAGAGGTGGGGTTGGGCCCAGGATCCTGGCCGGTGGAAGGGAGCGGAGAGAAAGCACAGGGACCGGTGGCCAGGCTGCGGGCCGTGAGGGGGAGCAGGAGTCGGCAGGCTCTCGGAGCAGGGGAGCGGGCGAGGATGAAGCAAGCACAGCGTGTGTGGGGGGCGGGGAGACACATCTCCCCTCAAGACAGCACAGGGCAGAGTTGTAAGGGGTGAGCTCCCCATCGCTGAGAGCATCCCCGCAGACCTGGTAATGGAGAGACTGCTGACCCTCCTTCCCCAGGTTCTGTGTCCTGGGCTGTTGGGGGATGCAGGGAGGCAGACCAGGGCCGAGCTCTCCACCACTGCCTCTAGGGAGCCACTGTGAGCTGGCTGGGTGCCTGGCACCCTGCCTGGACCCCTCTGAGGCCCTCTGGCCGTTACCCCGACCCAGGCGCCAGGCAGTGGAAGCTCAGTCGGGATGATGCACACTGCAGACACTCAGCATTGCTTGAGCACCTACTGGGTCCCTGGGGCCTGGAGGAGAAGGAAGGATACCCGCCTGCATGGGGAGAACTCGGTGGGGGGTAGGGAGACATGAAAGGAGGGCGCTGGGGGTTGTGGGCCCAAGAAGATGGCTTGGCAGTCTCCCTGGGGAGGGCAGGGTGCCAGCGAGGGCTTCCTGAGGAGCCAGCTGAGCCATGGTCCCGGGGGCATTCTTCGGGCCCCTTTTCTCAGACGTGGAGCGGAAGCCCCAGGGAGGACAAGCTGAGAGAGGCAGGAAGGGTGTGGAGGACGTGCGGTCCAGGTGAGGCCAGGCGGGCGGTGAGCAGCAGGCCCACCCTGCGCTCCTCTCCATCCCCACTGGCCAGGCATCCCCAGGGCCGGCCAGTGACCAGAGGCCTGGGGGCGGTGTCCTGAAGGTGGGTCCACGGCAGCTGGGAGGGCAGGTCATCGGGTGAGCCCACCACCGCCCTCCCCACCCCGCACCAGGCAGCTGCACCCCCACCAGCCAGGGGTCTGCCTGCCTGACTCAGCCAGGCCAGTGTGAGCCTGGAGCAAGGAGGGGACCCTGCTCCCGCCTCTCATGCAGGCCCGTCAGAGGGTCCTCTGGAACGTGAGGACAAAGCAAAGGGCTGACCTCGCACCCCCCATGAGGGTCTTTTAGGGAGACAACTCCCGAGCCATCTGATAGCTGGGAGGACCCGCTAGGCCGGCTTTCTGCCCAAGACGGAGGCATGCAGTGTGGACTCAGGCTGCACCCACAGGGAGCTCTGGCCCCAGTGGGCTCTGGGCTGAGTTGGTACTGGGGGCAGGGGGGCAGCCCTGGCCTGAGAGACAGGGCCTGGCACCTCGGGGAGGCCACTGTGGGCCCTGCTTTCTTCCTCCTTTCTTCCTTGGGTCTTCCGTGAGCAGGGGGCCGCTGGGGAGCCTTTCTTGGTTCTGCAAGGAACAGAGAAGGGGTCTCAGAGAAGCTGAGTGACTCAGCGGAGGTCACACAGCCAGCCAGTGCGCCCAGATGCATCCGACCGTGCCCCGAGCCTGGGGGCAGGAACTGGCTCTGCCCAGGGGCTGAGCGGGCGCTGGCTGGGGGGTGTTCATGGGGCCCTGCCTCACGACACCGGCGTCAGGCAGCACTGGTCTGAGCTAAGTTTACTAATATTTATCCAAGGGCCACTTCTGGGATTCACAGGGAGCCAAGGGGACCCCCGTCCAGCAGGCAGACAGAGACTGGTCCCCAAACATCCGGCTGGGGACTCCTGCCTTCCTTTCCAGCTGGGTGAGGGTGTCAGGCAGGCTGGGGCGGAGCGAGGGCGCCTCTTCAAAACTCCCCATGAGGTCATTTCCCTGCGATGACGAGGCCAGCCCTCCAGGCTCCGGCACAACCAGCCTGGCCAAGGGCAGCCTGTGAGGAAGCTGCGTGTCACGGCAGCCCCGAGCCTGGGGCTCCCTGCCATGTTCTTCCCGCGGGCAGCAGTGCCCAGGGACGGCCCTGAGGAAGGATCCCCTGCTCCCCTGCCTGGAAGTCCCCCTCCTCCAGGAAGCCCTCGGGGATTGCCAGGCAAGACCTCAAGCCGGCTCTCACCAAGCACACAACTTGGGGTGTCGTTGACTGCTCCAGTGTGGGCTTGGGGAGGGCGGGGGAGGCCCAAGCTGCCTGGAGTTGCAGCGTCTGAGAGCTGGCCTGACACCATGTGACCTGAGCCCGACACAGCCCATTGGCCATGGCCTGTGACTCAGGCCTGTCCTCAACCCTTCTCAAAGTTGTGGCCTGGGAAAAGTGAGAGGTCCAAGGGCAGGAGGCAGGAGGCCTGTCCCCACCTGGTTCCAGGGCCCTGGCGAACTCCTGTTCATCCATCAGTACCCCGCTCAGAAGTCACTGCCAGCTCTAGAAAGGCAGAGACAAATGTCTTAGTCTCTGGGACCCTCGGGGCCCAGCCCAGGTGCTTCGGAAATGTTTCTGGACGTGAGTGGACCGCCTTACTGCCCAAGAGACCCAGCTCTCTGGTCAGAGTAACTGATGCTGGTGGAGACTGTTTCCTTGACTGGACAGCTAGGACATCCTGCGGTGGGGGCAGGTCCAGGCATGTGGGAGCTGAGAGGAGGGACCTCTCCCATCGTCACGGAGTGGGGAGAGGAGAGGGGAGCCAGCTGGGAGACAAGGGACCTTTCTGGACGCTCAGACGAACATATGAGCAGAATACAGGAAAGGAGAGAAGGTGAATGGGCAGGCACGGCCGCCACCTCCTGGACAGTGCTCGGCCGCCTGGGCGGTGCCGTCCGAGGACAGGCGGGGCGTCCTGCTCCCAGCCACCCGGCCCCAGAGTCTTGGGCAGCAAGTCGGGTGGGGCTGTGTCATCTGGGCTTTTTTTTTTGTAAATGTGTATATGGCTACATATATATATAATTTTAGTGGCTATGCTGGGTCTTCCTTGCAGCACAGGTTTTTCTCTAGTTGCGGAAAATGGGGGCTTCTCTCTAGTTGTGGGGCGCAGGCTGCTCACTGTGGTGGCATCTCTTGTTGTGCCCAGGCTCCAGGGCGTGTGGGCTCAGTAGCTGTGGCTCCTGGGCTCCAGGGCACAGGCTAGGTAGCTGTGATGCCCCGGCTTAGCTGCTCCGCGGAATGTGGGATCTTCCCAGGGTCAACCTCTTGTCTCCTGCACTGGCAACAGGATTCTTTACCACTGAGCCATCCAGGGAAGAAGCCCTGTCATGTATATTTTAATCAAATTCTTTACTACTTAAAAAAATTACCAAAATAAATGACCATTTGTTCATACAAAAAGTTAAGAAACTGATGAAATGATTTCAAAGTTCTGAGCACTGCTCTTTCACGACCCCACCTCAGGCCCACTCTTGATGTGGCAACTGACCTTTGATTCTTTTTAAAAAATGTATTGGTGTTTCATCAAAAAATTAAGAATAGCATTATCATGTCATCCAACAGTCCCCCCTTCTGAGCCTGTTCCCAAAAGAAGTGAAAGCAGAGAATTGAATACACGGTCACATGCCCATGTTCACAGCAGTATCCCAGCAGCCAAAAGTGGATGTCAGTGCCCATCCATGGATATTGTTCAGTCGCTCAGTCATGTCCAGCTCTTTGCGACCCCATGGACTGAAGCACCCCAGACTTCCCTGTCCTTCACTATCTCCGGGAGTTTGCTCAAATTCATGTCCATTGACTTGATGAT